CCTAGAAAACACACCAGCAACCCCTCATTGAATGCTAAGGGCTGCTTTCTGCAGCATGGACCTGGGCGCAGGACTACAACTCCCATGAGCGCCTGCCAGCATGCCAGGACATTTGGAGGGGACAAGATTGGAGAAAATCTGCCCTAGGGGGTTGCAGTGTGTGCATGCAGCCGTTTTCAGTTACCTGGAGGCGAAAATGTGGAGGGGGTCATTCCACGCCAAATCACCTGATTTTAATACTGGACTATGCTCTCACAAGGGACGCGGGTGGCGCTGTGGGTAAAAGCCTCAGCACCTAGGGCTTGCCAATTGAAAGGTCGGCGGTTCGAATCCCCATGGCGGGGTGAGCTCCCGTCGTTTGGTCCCAGCGCCTGCCAACCTAGCAGTTCGAAAGCACCCTTAAGTGCAAGTAGATAAATAGGGACCGCTTACTAGCGGGAAGGTAAACGCCGTTTCCGTGTGCTGCGCTGGCTCGCCAGATGCAGCTTTGTCACGCTGGCCACGTGACCCGGAACTGTCTTCGGACATCGCTGGCCCTCGGCCTCTTGAGTGAGATGGGCGCACAACCCTAGAGTCTGTCAAGACTGGCCCGTACGGGCAGGGGTACCTTTACCTTTACCTTTATGCTCTCACAACTCAGATTTTCTTCAAAAGAAAATCATGTGCAGATGAGATAACCTCAAATTAACTTTTTTAGATTTTTTGGTCCAAAAATCGGGTGCAGGAGAATTTTTTAAAAATTCTGATTTTGGGGCAATTTAGGCTAACTCCAATTTCTGCGTCAGTTTAGGGGGGAAACCCCTGTTTCGCTTATTTTTCAACCATTTGGGCTTATTTGGGTATCAAAATAAAGCTAAATGTGGTCTCTTTCAAAATAAGGTATGCAAATGGTATTAAGTGCCGCAGAAAAGCGTCAACAACCATTCAAAGCGATTTTTTGTCATTTTATTTCCGGTAGGTTCGATAAGCCATAATGCACAAACCAGAACTATCACATGTATCATAGTATTTTTTTGTAGAATGGGCTAACCACGTACTTGTTATGTTTTAAAAATAAGGAGGGTGTTTTTTGTGGTTATAAAACAAATTGATGTTGATGTAAATTTTTCACCAAAAAAAATATTATTTGTACAGGTTTAAGGTCTCACTGAGCCTGAAATAACTCACACATTCGTGAGAATAGTTAAAATTGTACCCTCTTAGGTTACAATGCCATCTGATATATTTTAAAAATTAAGTTTTATTGATTATTTAATTAAAAAACAAAGCACACGGCAACAGGTGATTTGGCGTGGAATGACCCGGAGGAGAGAGAGGAGCAGGGGTTTTTTGGCTCAGGGCGGCCAACTTTCCAGCTAGCATCTGTTACTGTGCCTGCAAAGCGCAGTGGGATCTGCACAGGTTAGCCCAGCAATCACGCCCTGTTCCTCATCCAGAGAAAACATTAGCTGCTCGTATCTCCCCATTGGACTGCTGCCGAAAGCACAGGAGCAGTCACAGCCACGGTCAGTTGGCAACCCCTCTTTTGTAAATCAAGGATTCGGTAGGGCGAAGAGCAGAAAGTTCAAACGCCTCTGTGTATATTGAAGACTTGGTTGTCCAAAAATAAAAATAAAAAAAGGAACTCAACCTGGAGTCCTCCAGCTGTTCGGGTCTGAAGGAATGGGTTTCCCAAACCCCCAAATCTGACTGTGCAGTCAGTCTGAAACGGGCCGCCAAATCCCCATTTTTCCTTCTCCAAGGGTGCATTAGCTAAAAACCATTAACTTGAGCTCTTGAGCAAATGTATAACAGGAACCCAGTTGTATAAACAGAGATCTCTCCTTTATCAGTCCGTGACGCCTAATGAATGGCCTTGTCAGTTCCAAAGTGGAGCAGGGATGGCACCTCTGGGTCTTATCTTACATCCTGACCACACTGACGCACAGACCTTCTCAGCCCCCCGGGAACGACGCCAGGAGTGCTCTTAGAGTTGGTGACCTTCTTACCCCAAGATAATGAATACAGGAACAGAACACCCTTTTACGGTCAAGAGTACCGGAACAGGAACATCTATTTATGGTCATGGGTGTCAACTTACGTGTACAGTGATGCCTCGCAAGATGAAATTAATCCGTTCCGCGAGTCTCTTCGTCTTGCGGTTTTTTCGTCTTGCGAAGCACGGCTACTAGCGGTTTAGCGGCTTAGCGGCTATTAGCGGCTTAGCGGCTATTAACGGCTTAGCGGCTATTAATGGCTTAGCGGCTTTAAGAAAAAGGAAACAAACTCGCAAGAACTCGCAAGACTTGTGAAGCAAGCCCATAGGGAAATTCGTCTTGCGGAACGACTCAAAAAACGGAAAACCCTTTCGTCTAGCGAGTTTTTCGTCTTGCGAGGCATTCGTCTTGCGGGGCACCACTGTATAAGCTGACGTGGCTGGATTCCTGGCAAGGGGACCAGAAAGGGTATATAATCTGTAGGTAACCGCTCTTTAAGTGCTCTTGCTGTGAACTGACCACGCAAGTGCCTTCTGCTATCCGGAGAGCAGAATAAACTCTTTCTCTGAACCAAACCTCGGTGTCATTTGACTTCCTTCCTCCCGTCCGGGAGCAACGCTCACCCAACCAATCGGTAAAGTCTAATAAGGCTACAGGCCTACAACTCCCATCTGGCTGGGTGCAGATTGTGGGAATTGTAGTGCCAAACAGGTTGGCGGAAGCTGATACAGCCATTTCTACCCAACACAGACCAGACTCTTTTGCCCTGCTCAAATGGCAACGTTAGTCGTCCTTTATTGCATATTATTCACCTCGCGTACAAAGATCGCTGCCGAATATAAGACACAATTTCTCCCAAGGCCTATGAAGCGCATTCCACTTTTTACGAAAAATCTCATTATCGTCCTTCGATATCGATTTTAGATCTACGATTTCAAGATGTCGGCACCAAATCTGACCAAAAGGTTTGGCCTATGAATACCCGTGTTTGGCATTCAGTTAAACAGGGTTGTTCAGTTGTTTTACTCAAGAGTAGATTCCCTGGAGTTAGTAAACATAACTAATAAATTGACCGCCTGCAAACGACCCTTCTGCAAAAATACGATTGCCGCAAGGATAGCGATGTGGTTCCTGAGCTCCTAACTCGCACCCGCCTTGACCAGCATGCCCAACGGTCAGCTATTATGAGAGTTATAGGGCAGCCTTGGCCAGCCGGGTGCAAATCAATCTGTTTTGGACTACAGTTCCCATAAGCCACCAGCACCAGCCTCCTGCGCCAGCGGAGGCTGATGGGAATTGTAGTCCAAAGCAGATCAATTTGCACCTGGCTGGCCAGGGCTGCCCTATAACTCTCATAGTCCCTGACCGCTGGGCATGCTGGTCAAGGCGGGTGCAAGCCCAGGCACCACGTCGCTATCCCTGCGGCAATCGCATTTTGGACTACGGTTCCCATTAGCCACCAGCCCCATCCTCCTGCGCCAGCGGAGGCTGATGGGAATTGTAGTCCAAATCACACCCAGAGGTCGCCAGGTTGTGGGGCGGGGAGCCTGTTTGATGGAAATCCTCGACGGTTTGGGTCTCTGACCCAAGGCTTTACCCAACCCCAAAGAAACGGGAGTTGATTTTTTAATTTTTTTAGTGCTTAGGCAGAGGTTGGGGGCGTCAACAGTCGAATGGCAGCGTTCCCCCCCATCCCATATAAGAAATCCGTCTAAAAATCTGTCTAAAAATTATTTAGACAGCCCCACTGAGTCACCCTGTGGCCTTTCTCTTTGGCAAGACGCTACACCGGTAGAACAGAAGCCCAAAGTTGCATACCCAAAAGCAAGAGGATCGTCCCAGGCGCATCGCATCAGTTTTTGACATTGGTTTAAGGCACAATTGAAGGTTGTGGGGTGCAAAGTCCTGTCTCCCTGATCCTATGGCTCTACCCCATTAGATTCCTGCCCCCATTGCAATGGTTTGCACCCTTCCTCTTAATCTGGGGGACCCTTAGCACGCCAGTCATCCCCGAGCACTGGGCGCGCTTGCCAGGGCTGGGAGGGTGTGGGAGTTGTAGTTCAGGACCCCACAGATGTGGGGAAAGGGTGGGCAGGAGAGGTTGCGATAATTCAGCCGCCCAGTTTCGTTTAGGGCCCCGTCTGTGCCGTTGTCTTCCGAGCTCTCTTATCCCGCCTTAACCGTCCTGGCTCCGCCCACCTCCAACCAGAATCCTGGGAGTTGTAGTTTGTTAAGGGCGCCGAGAGTTGTGATGAGACTCCTGTATTCCCGTCACAGAGCTATAAGTCCCAGAGTTCCACGGAAGAGGTATTGATTGTTAAACATCCGAGAGGAATTAGGGAGGAATCTTCAGACAACACTCAGCAAATTTAGCAAACTATAGTTTCTGGGATTCTTCGGCGGGGAAGCCATGGCTGTTTAAAGAGGTATGATCCTGTATTAAAGGTATGGTGCAATTAGGCAAAGGAAAGAGAATTCGGGAACTTCTCCTTGGCCACATTGAAACTGCCGTGGTTTGGGGAATTCTGGGAGCTGAAGTTTGTTATGAGCAGTGCTTTTTTCTGGGGGTACGCATACCCATAAACATTTTGTGAATCTAATGGGAGAAGAAACTATTTTTTTAAAAAATAAAATAGTTTCTTCTCCAGCACGGTGAATCGTCTGTTCCGTTGCTGTCCATTTTCTGTATTTATTTCCCCCGATTTGAACGATAAAAATTGTGGTTTCCTGGAGTCAAAAGGAGGGGACCCCTAAACATTTTTTTTTATAGAAAAAAAGCACTGGTTACGGGTTTCGAAGAGTTACTTGGAGACCCCTGTATTCCTACCCCGGAGCTACGATTCCCAAAGAAGGGAGACGGTTTGATGATCCCCTCTGGCAATTGTAGCGCTATGGGGGTCCCCTCCCAAACCTCAGCAATGTTAATAGCAGACAGCTCCCAGAAACCTTTGGGGCAGCGGTTCTCAGCCTGTGGGTCCCCTGTGGACTACAACTCCCATCATCCCTGAGCTCTGGCCTTGCTAGCTAGGGATGATGGGAGTTGTAGTCCAACAACCTCTGGGGACCCACAGGCTGAGAAAGGCTGCATTGGGGCGAAGCCATGATTGCTTCAGCAATGGGCAAAGGCGGCCCTCGTTGGCACCATTTTTCCACCTGAAGCCAAAGTGCCCGTTCCGTGGAAGGGGTCACGGCGCCGTGGGGGACGCACCCCGCTCCCTGAAGGCCTTGGCCAACCGCTTGGCTTCCTTGGCACCTTCAACGGCTCGCCGGAGGAACCGGCATGGGTCGGCCCTCACCCAGGCGACCTCCCGGGCCAGGCCCTCGAGGGCCGGCCGAGCGAGCCCTTCCAGAAGGTTCCATTGCGGCAGGAAGTAGCTGGGGAGGCGCCGGTGCGCCAAGCCGGCGGAGAGGTCATCCAAGAGGCCCAGCAAGGCGTGCGCCGCGTTCTCGTCCCGGCCGAGGTAGCTGGACGGCAGCCGCTCGCACGACCACAACGCCAAGGTGAAGAGGTGGTAGGGCCCCAGGCCTCCGCGCAGGTCGCAGCCCAGCATGGCCATGGCGGCCCGGAGGGCGCGGAGAAGGGGCGGGGGCAGGATCCGGCGGAGGTGCAGCTCGCTGGCCGAAAAGGCCAGGCGCCAGGCGCCGAAGGACGCGGACGGTATGAGGTAAAAGCTGCCGGCTGCTTCTTCGTCCGTCATTTTGCCGTCCCAGAAATGGGCTTGCGCCAACCACGACTGGGCAACTTCCGGCCAGCCCTTGAAGGCCACAACCGGGAGGACGTCGTAGAGGACGCGGCGAAGCCCGACGCGGACGATCAGGGAGGTGACGGAGCCGCGCCGCTCGACCCGCACGTCCGCGTCGGCGGGGAAGGAGCGCGAGAGCCACTCGCAAACCAGCTCGGCCGACAGGTGGGCCTCGTCGCCTGAGCAGCAGTCCGACCAGCGGGTCAGCGTCTCGGGGCCGAAGGGCTGGAGGCTGATCTGTGCGTGGCCCGGGGGGGTCTGCTTCATGTCCAAGGTGACAGGGACCCCGGCCGCGTTCAGGACGGGCACCAGAAGGGTGAAGTCGGCGTCGTAGTCGCCCCCGGCGGAAAGAGGGCACAAGGTGCCAGGATCGACGTGGATGGTGCCCCGCTGGGCTCCGCCGGAGAGGATCAAGTAGCGGTTGATGGGAGGAAGCTTCCCCTCGGATTTCTGGACCTGACCTGGCGGGAGGAAAAAAGAAACAGGAGACTTGAGACCCCTGTTTGACCCCCTAATTTGGGGGGACTGGTTCGCCCAGCCCTCCCTTAGCAAATGGTTCTCCCTCTGCCTGGAAAGAGCCCCACAGATAGTGTCCAAGGAGGTTCTGGTCAGCTGTTGCTGTTGGCATCCGTCTGTCTCGAGACAATGGAGTGTACCTCCGGGGGTGAAGTCTAACCAGCAATGGAGTGCGCCTCTGGGGGGGGAGTCAAACTGACAATGGAGTGCGTCTCGGGGGGGAGTCAAACTGACAATGGAGTGCGTCTCTGGGGGGGAGACAAACTGACAATGGAGTGTGCCTCTGGGGGTGAAGTCAAACTGACAATGGAGTGTGCCTCTGGGGGTGAAGTCAAACTGACAATGGGGTGCACCTCTGGGGGTGAAGTCAAACTGACAATGGAGTGCGCCTCGGGGGGGGAGTCAAACTGACAATGGAGTGCGCCTCTGGAGGTGAAGTCAAACTGACAATGGAGTGCGCCTCTGGGGGTGAAGTCAAACTGCTTTGTTAGCAGCTCCAAAGTGACTTCCCTGGGCACAAGTCTAAGTGGGGGGGAGCCAGGGCTGCCCAAATGACAAGACCCCCCTCTCGGTCTCGCTGATATGGTCCAAAGGAAAGCAGAGCAAGATGTTTGGCACCTGTCTGGCTGCAGGAGTTGCCGGAAGGAGGCGTACGAGGCCTCATCCAACCATCCCAGCTCTACTACCAGCTTCATCCGGTACGCAGGATGAGACCCTCTCTGCCCGCAGACTGTCTCACCAGAGTGGCGCATGCTCTGCTTGGACTACAGCAATGCGCTCTACGTGGGGCTACCTTTGAAGGTGACCCAGAAACTGCAATTAATCCAGGATGCGGCAGCCAGACTGGGGACTGGGAGACCACAGAACACTGGTCCTGAAAGACCTCCATTGGCTCCCAGTACGTTTCCGAGCACAATTCAAAGTGTTGGTGCTGACCTTCAAAGCCCTAAACGGCCTCAAAGGCCCAGTAGACCTTAAGGAGCGCCTCCACCCCCATCACTCAGCCTGGACACTGAGGTCCAGCGCCGAGGGCCTTCTGGCGGTTCCCTCCCTGTGAGAAGTGACGTCACAGGGAACCAGGCAGAGGGCCTTCTCGGTGGTGGCGCCCGCCCTGTGGAACGCCCTCCCAGCAGATGTCAAGGAAATAAACAGCTACCTGACTTTTAGAAGACATCTGAAGGCAGTCTTGATCAAGAACATTTTTAATGTTTTATCCCTTTTTTATTACTATTACGGTGGTGCCTCGGGTTACAGACGCTTCAGGTGACAGACGCTTCAGGTTACAGACTCCGCTAACCCATAAATAGTACCTCAGGTTAAGAACTTTGCTTCAGGATGAGCAGCGGGAGGCGCCATTAGCTAAAGTGGTGCTTCAGGTTAAGAACAGTTTCAGGTTAAGAACGGACCTCCAGAACAAATGAAGTTCTTAACCCGAGGTACCACTGTATTAATGTTCTTCTGGGAGCTGTTCAGAGTGGGTGGAGAAACCCAGCCAGATGGGCGGGGTAGAAATATATTATTATTATCATTATTATGATTATTATTTGTATAGGCACACTTCTTCAGATACACATGCTGCATGCACACGAAAGCTCATACCAAGAACTAACTTAGTTGGTCTTTAAGGTGCTACTGGAAGGAATTTTTTTGTTTTGACTATGGCAGACCAACACGGCTACCTATCTATATTTGTATAGGGTTTACCCCGAGCCTTTTCTTCTCCCAAAGATATCCCGCAAGGCAGCCGAAGTTTAGGATCAGAGTTTTCCAACACGGGCTCCCTTCCCAGGCTGACCTTCTCCCTCTGTCCCCCTCTCCCAAACACCTTCCCTTCCAGCCACTCACCCAGCAGGGAGAAAATCTTATCCTTTGCACGGTGGAGTTCTGGGGCGTCCCGGACGCCTGGGTCCCTGGCCTCGTATTCTTGGATGAGCTGGTTGATCTCTTCGATGCGTGCCCCGGAACGGAAATCCAGGTCTGTGAGAGGCTTGGCAGGGGCCGGCTTGGGGTTGGGGGGTTCCCTGAAAAGGGATGCCATCCCCCAACTTTCCAGCAGGATGAACAGAGAGAGGAGGAGAGAGAGAGAAAAAAGGGGGGATGATCTCCTCACGACCTTCATTGGAAGAGAAAAACGACTTGATAAGGAGGTAGGATCCTGCTTCTGAAGCCTCTGCTCCCGTTGAGAAAACAATAAACTTAAATTGAAAGAAGGAAGTTAAAAATATTTGAACGATTGGCTGCAATATTTTCCAATTAATCAGAGTTTGGCAAAAGTTAAAACAAAAAGGATTTGAGAAATGAAATCCTGTATTCTGTGCCACTGTATTCTGCTCTGGCCAGACCTCACCTGGAGTACTGTGTCCAGTTCTGGGCACCACAGTTCAAGAAGGACACTGACCAACTGGAACGTGTCCAGAGGAGGGCAACCAAAATGGTCAAAGGCCTGGAAACGATGCCTTATGAGGAACGGCTAAGGGAGCTGGGCATGTTTAGCCTGGAGAAGAGGAGGTTAAGGGGTGATATGATAGCCATGTTCAAATATATAAAAGGATGTCACATAGAGGAGGGAGAAAGGTTGTTTTCTGCTGCTCCAGAGAAGCGGACACGGAGCAATGGATCCAAACTACAAGAAAGAAGATTCCACCTCAACATTAGGAAGAACTTCCTGACAGTAAGAGCTGTTTGACAGTGGACTTTGCTGCCAAGGAGTGTGGTGGAGTCTCCTTCTTTGGAGGTCTTTAAGCAGAGGCTTGACAACCATATGTCAGGAGTGCTCTGATGGGGTTTCCTGCTTGGCAGGGGGTTGGACTCCATGGCCCTTGTGGTCTCTTCCAACTCTATGATTCTAAGGTTGAATGAGAACTTGGTGGATGTCCGTGTGGGGTAGGAGGGTAGATACGCTGATACGTACAGTATAGGTAGGTATTATATAATGTAGTAGGTATGTTTTATGTTATGAAAATAAGGTAGTGTGTTATGTACATGTATTGTGTAAATGTATATGTATGTGTTTTATATGTTAATACAATTTATTTATTTTTTAAAAAGAGGCTGGCGGAGGAGGAGGCGGAAAGACCCTCACCTCATTCTAGGTTTGTTTAAAGCATGCAAAAAGTGGGCAGTGCTGTGTAGTGGTTAGAGCGTTGGACTAGGACCTGGGAGAGAGACCCGGGTTCCAATCCCTGCTCAGCCGGGAGACTCACTGGGTGCTGACCTTGCAGGGGTGACCTTAAGCCTAACTTACCTCGCAGGATTGCTGTTCTTATGGGAATTAAATTAGGAATCCTGTACAGGCCACCTTGAGCGCATGGAAGGAAGAGGTGAGCTACAATTGCAATAGTCACATGGACTAGGCTGCCACACGGCGGCTGTTTCTGACAAATATTAAGAAATAAATTCACGGCGGGCAAAACCCCACCAACATTTGACTCTGATTGGCACCAACTAGTTTTTTTTTTTTAAGGTTTACATTTTTTATTTTTAACCAACAACCAAACACAAGCATTGAAACCTCTCCCAGGCGGCTGATACATTGGGTATACATAATCAAAAATAACATATTCAAATCAACCATATGTACAATTTTATATACGTTAACCCTCCTCCCTCCACAAGGTTTATTCAACTTTTAACATTTTAATTGCCCCACATTGTTCAAACCTACCCAAATAATTCCAAAACCGATCCTCCTCTTTCTCGCTGACCTTAAACCCTTTCATTCTGTGTACCTTCACAGTTAGATATTCTAAAATTATAATGTTATTCGGTTTTTTCCTCCACTGGTTCACCCCTATCTCTTCTGCATTTTTTCCAATTGCTCGCTAGAACCTGCCTGGCTGCAGTTCCCATCAATTTTACCCTTTTACATTCCTCTTTTGTTTTTAACTCGGATTAGAAGAACCATTAATTTAGCTATTCCCACCTTCCTGCCCACAATTCCCCATTTTTCTATACCTGATTGGCACCGACTCTTTGCTATTTTCTTGCCCGGCTTCAAAGTGAACCTTTCCCTCCTGTTCCGACATCGCGCAAAACGTTTCGATTCCTTCGTCCAGAAAGAACCCCGGGAGCTGCGCTTTATCCAGGCTGCTCCGGAACTGTAGCCGGGGTCAAACTACAGTTCGCAGCACCTGGTTAAACTACATTTCCCACGGATCGTTTTGGGCGGCGATGGAGGAGAGGGGAAAGGTGCTTTTCCGCGTCTGGTGAGACGCAGGTGGTGGAGGAGGAGGGTGCTGGCGGGCGGTGCCACCCCTGGGCTGCTTGCCAGCAAAAGGACAGGCAGGCAGGTGGCTAGGTAGGTAGGTGGGTGGGTGGGAGCTACCCGAGGGCCGGCTCAGGTGGGCGCGCTCGCCCTCGGGGGCCAGACTCCGCTGGAAATATCTCGGATCTGGACGCGCAAGGGCGGGGAATGGCTCTGCCGGCGCACCTGGGCGCGCGACGGGGACCATCGCACAGGTAAAATGCAGGTGCAGCGACCCCTGCTCCTTCCTCCTCCCTCTCTCCTCCTTCCTCCTTTTCTTTTCCTCTCCTCCCCTTCCCTCCCTTCTCCCCCTCCGGCTGCTACCTGCTCCGCCGAGGAAATCTAGGAAGCCCCATCCCGCTCACCTGCAACTTACCTGCCCAAGCGGAGGGCGCGCCCACAGCCAGGGAATCTCAGCTCCTAAGCACCCTGGGAAATGTAGTTTCTCCCCACTGACTCCCGCTTCCAGGCGTGTCCCAAAGCATGCTGGGAAACGTAGTCTTTTCCCCCACTTCTTTCTTTTTAAAGCGCTCTCAAAAGGTCCTCCAAGGCACTTTGGGCAGTTTTGTCCAAAGCGAAGTCTTGGCTCTATTTTCTACATCCAGGGCTAATTCAGTTCAGTCCTAACAGCCCTGAGACGTCTATTTTTTTCTCTCTCTTGGTTCCATCCAGCTGCAATTGTAGTTTTTAAAGTGGGTTTCCAAAATGCCTGCCTTGGGACTCCTGCCCACCTGGCCCTTGCGGTCCTTTCCAACTCTGCAATTCTGTGATTCTATGGATGCAAATACCTGCATTCCCAGGTGAGGTTACTTGGCTGCCTTAAGCGAAAACTTTGATACCACCTTCTGCCTTGTAACTGCAGCAGTACTACAGTACAGTGGTACCTCGGGTTAAGTACTTAATTCGTTCCGGAGGTCTGTTCTTAACCTGAAACTGTTCTTAACTTGAAGCACCACTTTAGTTAATGGGGCCTCCTGCTGCCGCTGCACCGCCGGAGCACGATTTCTGTTCTCATCCTGAAGCAAAGTTCTTAACCTGAAGCACTATTTCTGGGTTAGCGGAGTCTGTAACCTGAAGCGTATGTAACCTGAAGCGTATGTAACCCGAGGTACCACTGTAGTACCTTGGTTTTTGAACATAATCTGTTCCAGAAAACCGTTTGAGTTCTGAAACGTTCAGAAACCAAGGCATAAACAGCGGTCTGCATATTTAATAGAGAAAATTGAGAAAAATAACATACACTCAGCAGAAGCCATTCGATTTCTGAGGCGCGTTCATCAATGAAGACTTTTGAAAACCAATATACCACTGTACTTTCAACCTTTCCCCACTCAAAAGCCACAAAAATTGCTTCACGTACTGAGATATATACCCTCTCCCAAAGGTCTCAAAAATCGAACAAATGTCGATCATTGCACAAGGAAAACACACATACATAAATAAAGATATTGTAATAAAAAATTTAAGGTCATATATATATATATATATGAGGGACGCTGGTGGCGCTGTGGGTAAAACCTCAGTGCCTAGGACTTGCCGATCGCATGGTCGGCGGTTCGAATCCCCACGGCGGGGTGCGCTCCCGTTGTTCGATCCCAGCACCTGCCAACCTAGCAGTTTGAAAGCACCCCCGGGTGCAAGTAGATAAATAGGGACCGCTTACCAGCGGGAAGGTAAACGGCGTTCCGTGTGCTGCGCTGGCTCGCCAGATGCAGCTTTGTCACGCTGGCCACGTGACCCGGAAGTGTCTGCGGACAGCGCTGGCTCCCGGCCTATAGTGAGATGAGCGCACAACCCTAGAGTCTGGCAAGACTGGCCCGTACGGGCAGGGGTATATATATATATATATGTTTGGAGCAACACAGGAAGACCGCCCTGAAACCATTTTGACTCCCAAGCTGAACAAATGTTTTCTCTGCAAGGAGGGAGGGGTGAGGGGACCTTCCCATCGTCTCAGGAATTGGGAAATCGCCATCTCAAAGGAATGGCCAGACTACCAGGAAAGGCAATCACATAAGGCATTATCAGATAACCTGGCAGACAGGAGATAAACAACGCACTCAGATTTCTGTTGTAGACCGCCTTTTCTGTGATATAAATATGATGTTTGTGGGGGGTGATCTTGGGTTACACCCCTTCTGTGATGTATGTAGGATGTATGGAGGGGTGGTCTTGAGCTCCAGGGAAGGCAATTTAAAATGTGTATACAGTGGTACCTCGGGTTAAGTACTTAATTGGTTCCAAAGGTCCGTACTTAACCTGAAACTGTCCTTAACTTGAAGCACCACTTTAGCTAATTGGGAGTCCTGCTGCCTCTGCACCGCCGGAGCACAATTTCTGTTCTCATCCTGAAGCAAAGTTCTTAACCTGAAGCACTATTTCTGGGTTAGCGGAGTCTGTAACCTGAAGCGTATGTAACCTGAAGCGTATATAACCCAAGGTACCACTGTATAAGGGCAGGCACACCTGGGTTCTGGGTCCCCCTCCTTTCCTGCGTGTGAGGGGAGCACCCTGTTGCAACAGATTAATAAAGATCAGGCTTACTAGCCGCTTTGCTTCTCAATATTCTCTGGTTGGCCTCTGTTATTTTCTCTGACCGATAGGGAACCCACTTAAGGACTCTGTACGGGCTCTTGGATACCCCATAAGGGAAGAAGGGCAGGTTTTGTTTACAACACTGTACTCATTAGGCCTGCCACCCTTGGCCAGATCCTGTTTCTTCAAATTAAGAGTTAATTTCACATGGTTCATTGCTGCCTTGCTCCTGTCAGGACCCCAGGCCTAAACACAAACCAAGCCAAATCGCAAGCCAGAATCGCTGCGCAACACACAACGCTTTCGCAGGACGGACGTGCGGTCGATGGTTTTGCTTTTTATTTCCTTTCCCAACCCAAAGGTGACTCAGGCTGGGGCGGCTAGGTCCTCGTCCTCCTCTCTTGCGGGTTCCCATTTCGGATGGGGCCCCTGCTACTGTTTCACTGGGCGGTACACCCAGTCCGAGACGGCGGCCGGCTCAGGCCAGGAATACCGCGGTTTGGCACTGGGGGTCTCCGGCGGCGCCGTCCCTGGCAAAGGCCCGCCACCGATGCTGTGGAACCGGGGCGCTGCCGGTGGCGACAGCGGGCTGTTGAGCAGGTGCTCTGGTTCGGCGCGCGATTTCCGCCGGGAGGATTCCCGAGGCTCATACTCGACCGGCTGCTCTTCCGGCGTGGTCACAATGGTCCCTCGTCGCCGGTAGCTTCTCTCAGGGCTGCCCGACCGGCTCGCCGGCGGCGTTTGGGGGTGCACCGGGTAGATGTAGACTTTGGTAGGCCTGCGGCCCGCCGTCCCAGGGTATTCGGCCTCCGGTGCAGAGCGGTACTGGTTATCGTTCGCCGACAACCTCGAGAAGTAATCGGGGTTTACCGCCATGCTGTTCCGGTGATCGTTGCTGCTGCCCGAGGCCAGCATGGGGTCGGAGGAGCCGCAGGCGACGTCCCGGCAGCGGGTGACAGGGGAGGGTGCTGAGGACGTGCGCGGGCGCTGCCGGGGGTCACAGTCGCAGGTGCAGCACCGCAGAGCGTGGCACGGCAGGTAATCAGGGCAGGGGCGCCGGCCAAGGCGCTGGTGCTCTCTGCAGGGAAAAGGTTCGTTCTGCAAGTTCATGGTGACCTTCAGCGGCTCCAGGGTGCAGTGGAGGCAGCGGCGGTGGGGCGAAGAGCTTTCTCGCCGGCGTCGGCGAGGGAGGGTCTGGTCGGACCACTGCGCTGCCAGCCGCCGGGATTGGGTTCTCCTCGTCTTGGGGGTGGCGCACATCTTTGACGTCTCGGGTTCTGGGAAGAGAAAGCAAAGGGGCCGCAGCGGCAAAGATTGAACTCTCTTAAAATGTTGCATTTGAATAATGGCGAACAACTGTCCTGCTGTGTCAATGGGCTTGTTTATTATATACTATGGGTAGGCAAACTAAGGCCCGGGGGCCAGATCCAGCCCAATCGCCTTCTCAATCCGGCCCGCGGACAGTCCAGGAACCAGCGGTCCAGGAACCATGTGTGCTTTTATTTCAAATGCATCTCTGGGTTATTTGTGGGGCATAGGAATTTGTTCATATTTCCCCCCCAAAATATAGTCCGGCCCCCCACAAGGCCTGTGGGACAGTGGACCGGCCCACGGCTGAAAAAGGTTGCTGACCTATACAGTGGATCCTTCGTTCTCGAACGGCTTAGTTGACGAACAAATCGGCTCCCGAACGAAAACCCGGAAGTGAGTGCTCCGGTTTCCGAACGTCTTTCGGAAGCCGGACGTCCGATGCGGCTGTCGGCTATTGTTTCCGGGGCACCTGCACCAATTGGAAGCCGCGCCTTGGTTTTTGAACATTTCGGAAGTCAAACAGACGTCCAGGACGGATTAAGTTTGAGAACCAAGGTTCCGCTGTAGTTGAATCAGGGGTGTTTTGACTCTCCTTCGCTGGAGGTTTTTGAGCAGATGGTAGCCAATTGCCTGTCAGGGATTCTTTAGCTGCGATTTGTGCGTTAAAGGGGGCTGGACTGGATTAAAGGGGGCTGGACTAGATGACCCCGTGGGTCCCTTCCAATTCTGCAAACCTATGGGTCCATGACCTCAGAAGTTGAACTGTCCTTCATTGCAGGTTTTTAAAAAGAGGTGGGGTGCCCATCTCAGTGGCAGACTTTGGGCTCTCAAATCTTAGCAGCATTTGTGCAACACTAAAATTTTGCACCGCCCGTCCCTCGAATCTCCGATCTACATCACGGTTGTGGCGCCCCCTGCAGGTTGGTGCCCAGTACAGCCAAAATTTGTCACTCTTAAACCGCCTCTGGCTCTCTTCCTAGTGATTCTTCACCTGTGATTCCTTCACTTCAGGGGGTTGGACTAGATGACCACTTGGGAACCCATTCCGACTCTTAAGATTCTACGAAGGTAGCAATGTATTTCCATTGGGAGTAGCTGTGTTTTATGATCAGTTTCATTCATGATGTTTCGTTGTTGTTTTTTATCTGAACTGGCCTCGGCCTTCCTTCTTAAAACTTTGTTTTACTTCAGTAAGATTTACATACCGCTCGGTTGTGAAGAATGGACAAACCTCGAAGCGATTTACGAAAACTCAGAGCAAACCGTTAACATTACCGGTTAGAAAACAGATATCCGAAAGTCGGTTAGAATCAACAGCAAAGTAAAGGTAACCATTAGGTCCAGTCGTGGCCAACTCTGGGGTTGCGGCGTTCCTCTCGCTCTATGGGCCGAGGGAGCCGGCGTACAGCTTCCGGGTCATGTGGCCAGCAT